CACATATGCCTATGCGCTCACTACGGCCACGACATGATGGAGATTTCCGATGGTTTGATGAACTAGCCAGCCACTTTGATTCGTCTGGAATCCATGAGCACATCAATGGAGTGGTGTTTCTTCATGTCACGACGTGGTATGTGCATCATCGTAGACATCCATCCTGTGTTAGCCCACGTCCAGTGAGATTGGAAGGTCAGGCTATCACATGGATTGAGGATTTCAAGCATGCATGGAGAGACCTTCTGGATGATTCCATTGTTTTGTCCATTCATGTTGTCCGTCCCAGACCCACAGAGCTTCGAGGTAGGCCAGTAGCATGTCATGTCCTGTTGGAACAAGCACGCCCAGAAAATCGGTGCGCAGGATTATTGACAGGTCTGATTGAAGGACAAGGACAGAATGGTTGGATGCAAGGAGCCTTTTCTGTTCCAAATCCGCTTAGCTTTCAGTATGCTGCTAGGACGATAGGGATTTGGCAGTATTGTCAAGGAGCTCAATGCACATTCAGAATTGACACTCGTGCGCTTAGCCTGACAGAGCCCGAGCCCTTGGAATCTGGCTTTCATTTGCATTTAAGAGCCGTCCGGGGTTCCCAACCTGCAGTCCCGGATTTGGAACAGCAATTTGATGACATGTCAATGATGCAGCAGCCAGTAGCTAGCCACCAAATTCAGACAGGCACAGGAGATGCGGTGGTGGAGACTGAATGTCCTCCGCAGGGCCTTGATGTCAATGCACCTGCATTCCATCCAGGCAACCCACCGATAGAATATCAGACGGAATTTATTCAGGATTTGCACGCATGCTGGAGTCGCCATGCATTTTCGTGGCAAACTGAATCCCCATCTGCAACTGTCCATACTTGGTTCGTGGATCACCGAGAGCCATTCCCGCTCTGCACTCAAAGTCGTGAGGTACAACTGGATCATGCATTCCAACACTGGGAACAATTGATCAGAGGACGATGGAGAGACGTTTTGGACCATCGTTTGCCATTGGAATTTCACGTTGTATTACCTCCGCCGCCGCAATTAGAAAACGGTGTGGCAGCACATGTGATCCTGATCCAGGCACAAGTGGAGGATTGGGTCTCGAACTTGGTGTCAGTTGAAGATGATATCATGACAGCACTCAACGACGGGCAGTTAATGAGGCTGGTGATTACCACGCATGAACATATCCTTTTGGAGCATGTTGTGCAAACATGTGGGTATGACCCTGCCTGTATATGGGGGACCAGACCGATTCAGTGTCGTGCTTGGATACAGAGTCGTGAACTGTTACCTGGACATCGTTGGCCTGGCCGATCGGGTAGCAGTATCCACTTGCGCATCCGACGTCAAACAAATGCGCAAGCGAACCAAAGGCCAGGGTTGAACCTCCTTCAAATGGGTATGCAACTCAATCAACAGGGCCCTCAGGCATATCGTACGTTGCTGCTCCAAGCTCAGACTTCGGTCAGTTTGGCCCATGAGCCACGTGTCACTGCCTCGGTGGCCAGATCTGACCATTTCAAAAAAGGGATTGGTCGAGTTGCACGGATTGTCACACATGAAAGCTTCACGCTGCCCACTTTCCTGGAAGTTCCTGTTGACGTGTGCAGTCATCAAATGATACAAGCAGTGAACAGTTGGGTGAGCTCTCAACAAGTGTTGGATTGGCATTGGCTAGAGGACATTGATGTCATGTTTGCCTCTAATAATTGGCTGCCACATGATGGTTGGCATACCTTTTATATTGATGCAGATGCCAAACCATATCATTTTACTCATCATGATGTCACGCTTGTGCCACGTTCCGAACTGGAACATATGCGATGGTTGTATCTGCAAGGTTATCAACGGGCGGTGATTCTTCAGGTGAACACCCTGGGACCTTCCAATATCCAGATCATTCATTTTAAAAATCAAACCCCTATCTTGCCGCATGCACCGCTACGGACACCCACCCCTTGGCCTCATCGGCTTCCTACACTGCACCAGATCCAAGAAGTCTATTCGCCAGTGTATCCATCGCATGAGAAAGTTGCATGTTCATGGTCAATTGGGGTTGAACAGCCTCAAATCAATGAGTTCTTTGCTTCAGCTGAGGGCATTTTGTCGCGATCCTTTGAGGGTTTGGATCTGCCTGCGCATGTCACAGCCGCTCTTGCACGATGTGAGCCGCTTGAACGCATCGATCGACTTGTGATTTATGCCGATGGTAGCTCGCTGCCTGAACATCGTCGGAGACCCCCTGCGCAAGTGGAACATGAAGGCAATGGTGACACGTGGGCTTTTGTAGTGTTAGGGGAACAGTATATTGACTCGTCCAGTTCCAAAATCAATTTGCTGGGATGGACTGCACAGCCTGTTCTCTATGACGCATCAGCCAAACATTTCATAGGTTCTCAGACAGTAGGTTCTGACACAGCGGAAAGGGAGGCAATGTTTTGGTGTGGATCTTGGAGGTTAGCCCAAAATTGCAACATTCCTACAACATTTTGCACTGACTCTTGGTCTACGGGATGCCAAGCAGATGGCACGAATGGATCCTGTAAATCAGATGAGTCATTTTTCAACCTTCGAGCGATCTTCCAAGGCCTTGAAGGCTGTCTGCCTGGTTGTTTGGATATCAAGCATGTCAGGGGGCACAGCAATGACCCGTGGAATGATCTAGTTGATGTTCTGGCAAAGCATGAACGAGCATGCAGTTTCTATCACAAAAGACAGACTCTGGATATGCAAGTTTGGAAAGATGCGCTGAAACACCTGTGGACGCAGGTCACCGTTGAAATTGGACTGCCCCGCTTCAATGGTCAAGTTTTTGATGTTTTCCCACCGGAGTTGCCTGCCGTGGATGGGAGTGAAGCGCCAATTTCATACCAATCACGGATGGCAAACTTTTGCATCAGCCTTGCCACTGCCAATGTCAATTCCTTGCGCACTGGTCCTGATGGATACGGTGGAAAACTTCAATACATCCGGGATCAGATGAAGGCATTGCATTTGCTGTTTCTGGGCATTCAGGAATCTCGCTCCAGTGAAGTTTGCTCCCAATCTGATGACATTTTGCGAATTGGTAGTGGCAGCGAAGGGGGGCACCATGGGGTTGAGTTGTGGATCAATCTCAAGCAGCCATTTGCATATGTTGGCAGAAAACCTCATTTTCTGAGCAAGCAACATGTCGTGGTCGTCTATGCCGATCCACGTGTCCTGCTAGTGAAGCTGTCACATGAATTATGGAATGCTTGGATTCTTGTGGCTCATGGGCCCCATAGTGGCCATCCAGAAGACCTCAGGGCAACCTGGTGGTCCAATCTCACAGACATTCTCACAAAATTTGTTGGTGATTCTGAACTTTTTGCACTTGTTGATGCGAATGCAGAGCCAGGGCCCACTGATGCCATTCACATAGGTCCAAGAGGAACCTTGCCCTCCAAATCCACTGGACTGTTCCGTGAATTTTTGCATACGTGGGCACTCGCCTTGCCGGCAACTTTCTCCTGCCATATGGGGTTGCAAAACACATGGACTGCTCCGGATGGATTGACGCAACACTGCATTGACCATGTTTGTGTACCGTGCAGCCGTTTATGTGATTGTATGTTCTCCAGGGTTGTTGATGAGTTTGACTTGGGTAATTCCAATTGGGATCATGCTGTCACGGCCACTGAACTGACTTGGAAAGCAATTGTGTCATGTCAGAAAAGAAACCGAGACACCTCCATTTCCAGTGTCAATAGAGAGGCCATATGTGGACAGACGGTGCAAGGCCAACTCAGACAGTTTGTCGTGCCAGAATGGAATCAGGATATTCACTCCCATGTCAGTATGCATAATCGACATTTGAAAGACTGCCTGAAACAGGCTTGCCCTCCCGTCATTGCCGGTGCCAAGAAAAGTTTCATCACTGATGACATTTGGGCACTCCGTGCTCAGAAACTCCAATGTAGGAAAGTTGGCAAAGATCTACAGCATCGACATCGAGCGGAATTGCTCCGCGCAGCGTGGTGTGGATGGTCAGCCGTCACTCGAGGAAAAGACAATGCATGTGCACAGTATGCAGAGGTTTATCAGTGTTATGTGACAGCATTGCTTTGTTGGCGCCTACATCATGGTATCCAGCTGCACATGTTAGCCAGCCAACTCAAGAAACAACTTAAATGGGCCAGACGGAGCGCCATTCAGAAGGATCTCCAAAGCATGCCAGAAGGAACCGATGCGAGTGAAATCCTGCAGATGCTCAAAAAGCACATTGGCTCAACAAATCTCAAAAGCTTGAAGAAACCAGTTTTGCCGATGTTGCGTACAATTGATGGTCACCAGTGCATTAGCCCGACTCAACTCTGTGATGCGTGGGTAGATTTCTTCGGACAGATGGAAGGAGGTGAGAGAATGTCCTGGCAAAATCTGACTCACAAGTGGAGAGATAGTCTTGCAACTTTTCAACAGCAGCAGGTCCAACTGGGGCCAAATGATTTACCCAGCCTGACTGACTTAGAAGTTGCGTTTAGACGAGTTCGCAGAGGGAAAGCGGTTGGACAAGATGCCATTCCGCCGGAGCTTTGCCGTGCTTGCCCAACAGTCCTGGCAAAGCAGTACTACAGTGCTTTGATGAAGTTGATGGTCCACGGCCAAGAGTCGCTGCACCATAAAGGCGGCATCCTGGTACCAGCCTTCAAAGGGAAAGGGTCTTCTTTGGATCCATCATCGTACCGCTCCTTATTGATTAGCTCGCACATGGGCAAAGTGCTGCATAGAACTGTGCGTCATCATCAAGCACAGCTTTATGAAACATTCCTTTGTGCGCAACAATTTGGAGGGAGAAGAAGGGTGCCAGTCAATTTAGGCCTGCATGAAGCCAGAGCATTTCTGAGAAGTCGACAGTGTCAAGGACTTTCAGTAGGCCTACTCATGGTAGATCTCACCGAAGCATTCTATCGAGTACTAAGGCCGCTGGCTGTTGGCGGGCACTATACAGATCACCAAATTGCGCAAATTGTCGATAAATTGGGCATGCCACCTGAAACATTACAAGATTTGCTGGCCCACCTGCAAGAACCCTCGGCCATTGAGCAAGCAGAGCTGCCTGAACACCTTCAGCGTGTTCTCCGTTCCTTGCACACTGACACATACTTTCAGGTTCATGGTCAGACTGACTGTTGCCACACATCGGTAGGATCTAGGCCGGGTGACTGTTTTGCAGATGTGGTCTTTAGCTATCTCTTCGCCAGAGTCATGAAATGCTTCCAAAGCAAACTGTCGCAAGCGGGTCTGCAAGAAGTCATTCATGATGCCAAAATATTTGACCCTTATGCAAATGGTGAAGCAGATGGCCACCAGACCCACTACACTGGGCCCATCTGGATGGATGACCTATGTGTGGGAATCTCAGCTACCACACCAGCGCTGATGCTGAGGAAGGCTGGTGCCACCACTTCACTCTTGTTGGAGACGTTAGTTGGCTTTGGCATGACCCCGAATTTGAAGAAAGGTAAAACTGAGCTTCTCCTCTCACTTCGGGGAAAAGGAGTCAGGAAGATTAAGCAACAACTATTTGGACCCAGCTCTGCAGGCAGCATTCCAATAGTTTGTGAAGCCAACACGCAGCACGTTTCGGTGGTTGGACAATATCAGCATTTGGGTGGACTGCTCCATCATGGAGGGGATCACCGACAAGAGATGAAGCGAAGAATTGCCATTGCCCATACGGCCTTCAATCTTCATCGCAAAGTGATATACCAAAATGGTGAAATCTCCAAAGGCAAGCGAGTGCAGCTCTTCAATACCCTCATTGTGAGCAAGCTTGTCTACGGATGCGAGTCCTGGGTCCTCCGGGACCAGAAATCCAAAGAGCAGCTGCATGCCGCGATTATGCGCCTGTATAGGCGATTGCTAGGTTGCAAACCAGATGACAGACGTACTGATCTATGGGTGCTTAAGGAATTGAACCTCCCGACGCCTACAGAGCTTCTCAGACAGGCTCGTTTGCGCTATCTAGGCACCCTACATGCATGCCAGGATGTTGTGACATGGGATATTCTCAACGCTGATACAGAGTGGTGTGAGTTGATCAAGGACGATCTTCATTGGATGTGGCAGCAACTGGCTAACAGCTCTGCATTGCAACCTCCGGACCAAAGTTTTGCATCCTGGCGGTATCTGTGGATCCATCACAGACCATATTGGAAGGGACTCATCAAAAGAGCTATCCAGCATGCAGTTTTGCAAAGACACAATGAATGGGTGGTGCAGCATGGACATCAAGAGTATTCTGGAGCAACTTTATGATTTGCGACATGTCAGCCTGCCGAGCGCTCCGCAGCCCGCAGTCCGATCTGGGTTCTCGCATGACTATTTTGGCTGTATGTTATGTGGACAATCCTTCAAGACAAAAGCTGGCGAGGGTGCGCACATGTTTCGTAAGCATGGCACAATCTCTGACATTCGATATCTGTTTGACCAAACTCGCTGTGAAATCTGTATGAAGGAGTATTTCACGTTCAGCAAGCTACACAACCACCCGCGCAATTCTCAACACTGTAGGGTCAGCCTTCAGAGCAAACCACATCGAGTTGTGCCACAAGAAGGGCATGGCTCTCAACAGAATCGGAAAATGGAACAAGAGCATGATGGACTCTTGCCTCCGTTGACTAGTCAAGGCCCATGTTTGCCGCCTGTCAGACTGAGGTTGACGAGTTTGATGTTGAACTCTATAGTGCATGTGTTGAAGTGCTTATGGAGGAGGGCACGCTGGAAGACAAGTATTATCGAGTCTGGGCACTCACGAGGGCCAGGGCACTGGCTTGGACAAAATTTTTGCAGACCATGCATGGACTGCAGACTCATGTGAGTGCGCAAGATTTGGAGGCATTTGGACTTTGCAAAGAAGATTTTAATGCTTTCATTGATCGACTGGTGAATCCGTCTTCATGGCCTTGGTTTCAACATGAGCATTGTGATGGCGACCCTGAGCAGTCCCTGGCAGATTTGGAGTGGCAATGTGAGAATGTGACCGTTGACGCTGCTGCCAGGGAGACTGAGATCCCAAGGAGTTTTGGAACACATCGTTTCATCCTGCACGCGTTTTCAGGCAGACGCAGACAGGGAGACTTCCAGTTTTTCCTTGATGCCATCACTGGAGCCCATCCAGGTATTGTCATTCACACACTGTCTGTTGATATTATCCTGGACAGCCGATGGGGAGATGTGAGTGATGAGTCAGTACAAAACTTTTGGATCTCTGCAGCCCAGCGTGGCTGGGTGGTCGCCTTCCTTGGCGGTCCACCTTGCGAAACGTGGAGCCGTGCCAGAGAACAATCCCTGGGGAAGGGGCCTCGAAAGGGACCCAGAGTCATCCGATCGGCTCAGACGCCCTGGGGCTTTTCATGCTTGGCCTTAAGGGAGATACGTCAGATTTTGGTAGGTAACCAACTCATGCTTTTCTGTTTGCGAATGATGACAGTTTTGTATGTGAAGGGAGGATGTGGAGCAATGGAACATCCGGCTCGGCCGC